AGAGACAGGCCCGGCCCAGCCTCAGCCACTGCTGCACCAGGATCCCAGGTAACGAGAGGACTAGAGGGGCCGTTTCGGGCTGCTCTCCTCCCCGCCTCAGTCTGATGAGGGGGCTTCCTCCTCTTACCTCCCACTCCCAGGGGGTGCAGGCAGTGCCGTGACCCAGGACTGTCCTCCCCTTTCTTGTGTAACCCCCGTGGCCCGCACAGGGTGTGGATTAACCCCTCCACGCCACGGCTGAATGGCCCAGAGCTCACTGCAGGGCACAGGCAGCCTTGTGACCCTTGCGGTGGCAGGAGGTGAAGCCCTTGGGGCATACGTGTTCTCTGGCAGCCAGGTGGTGCCAAGCACCCTGTGAAGGGAACCGCGGTGCGTGGAGACATCCTAGTGGGCCAGAGGATCGTTACCACCCTCTACAGTGAAGCGAACAGGAGCGACTGGTGAAATCTTGACCCCCCAATAGGAGTTTTGCTGTTGACTTCAGCGGATCCCTTAACTTTGTCGTCATCCATCCACCACTGGTTCATCTCTCCATCTCAAAGGCACCGCCCCGCTGTCCCCACTGCCAGGGTTTTCCCTGCGCCCGCGGGTCCTTTCCATGCTGCCGTACACGGGGGGATGTATTTGTAAGCGGGACGGAAAATGACAACTTGAGGTCTCAGTCCTGCAGCAAAGTCTCATGACTAAGAATTATAGATCGATCAGGTCCCTCTGGTCCAGAAGGCTCTCCAAGAGCTCTGCCAAATCTGTGGAGGTCGCTTGGCCAAAGGGAAAAGCAGGCACCGGTGGCAGCAGACAGTAACCCTTCCACAGGGTTTACTAGCCCAAAGGGGGACAGCATCCCTGGTTGGAATGGCAGGCAGGCAGCGTCCCATTCCCAGACCCTGGCCCGCACCGGTACCCGTCTCCGCCAGCCGGCAGCCATGGGTGCTTCAGAAGATATAAGAAACCCTCACGCATCCCCCAGAAGAGGGGTGATCTACCCCTTCCCATGTAGGTCTCCGCCTCATTCCTTGTGGTTAGAGGTTCAAACCCTAGTATGAGGTTTTTAGCCCCCCCCCCATGTTCTTTTTGTGCAGGGGGGCAGGAAATCATGGTTACATCTCATCCCATAGATCCTGGGGGGCCAACCAGTTCTTAAGCAATAGCCACTCTGGGGACTGCTGCTATAGCGAATTAGTCACACTCAACCGGCCAAATAGCCACAGTGGTCAAGCCAACTAGCCACACTCAGCCGGCCAAATAGCCACACGTGGCTAGTGGTTAGTGTGTTGGATACCACGGCCATAGATCAAGGGTGGGGAACCTTTTTTAGGTTGGGGGCTGCTGACCCACAGAAAAATCAGTCGGGCCACACACAAGTGAGAAACAAAAACAAAAAACCCCCAAAAACAAAATCCCCAACCTCCCTCACTGCTGTGGCCCCCAGTGGAGAAGGAGACATTCCCCTTGCACACCAGGCTAGTGAATTTTGAGTGCTCTAGCCCCATAGAGGGACAGCGGGGGGTAGGGGTTGGAGCAACAGCATAGGCTCCCCAATGCTGGGGGGAGCCCTGAGCTTAGAGTCCGGATCCAGGCTAGCCGGGGGTCACATCCGGCCCCCGCGCCTTAGGTCCCCCACCCCAGCCAGAGATGGTACCTGCTGCCCCACAGTGCCCGCTGCCCCACACTGAGGCCTTGGTTCTGTTCTGATGCGGCGCGCCTCTTACTGAACTATCAGCATCATTTCTCGCAGGGCCCGGTGCTTCCTTTGGGCACCCCCTGAGGCGGTGACTTCCCTCTGAACCGGGGCGTTTTTCTTTCCTCAGGAGACGGCTGTACCAGCCCCCGTTCCCCTTCTTTCTCCTCCAGCCGCTGGGGCAAGCCCTTCGTCGCCTCACCCTCATCCTCCTGGCCTGCTTCCGGCTGCCCCCGGCCCTTTCTCCAGCAGCCCAGGTAAATCCAGCCGAGGCCACGACCAGCGTCCCTGTTCTGGTAGCAGGCCCGCGCTGTTCGGGTCACGCGATCCCGGAATGAACCAAACCTTTGGACATCTCTTTCCCGTTTCTGCAGCTGCTGACGAAGCGAAAGGCTCGCGGGGCCCCGATGGCAGGGAATCAGAAGCCGTTCTCGGGGCCTGCAGCCAGGTGAGAGATGAGGGCCGGCTGGGCGGAGGGAGTGGGGGAGCTGGAGTCCTGCGCTGTCTGTTCCTTGGAGAATCTTTAAGGGAACAGGGGCATGGGAGATAGGTCAGACAGCTCCTTTGTTGGTGGTTTCTCTGGCTCGGAGGAAACTGGGAGAATCTCCCTTCAGCCTCGTCCGTCTCCCCTGCCTCATGACCTGGCATGTTCCTTTGGCTTCTCCGAACCCCAGACCAAGGACCAGCTGTTATTTCCTGTTTCCTTTTTCAGGATGATTCGCGGGACTTCGTCTCTGGCCCAGGTGGTCTCCTTGCCCCGAGTGGAGGGCAGGTCCCACTCTTCAATCCTGCTCTGGGTCCTCAGGTATGGAGGTCCTTCGCCCCTTCTAACCACACAGGGTGTCTTGGCGAGCGATCCAGCCACACCCGGCTTAGGACGGATGCTGGGATTCTCACCAAGGGGAAGTCAGACCCCTCGTGTCTCTGGTGGGACAGCTACGGATGTTCCCTTTTGTCCATCTGCCTGCTGGCAGAGAGAGCCCCGGGCGGAAGCCTCTAGAGATGTGGCAGAGATGTCGTAGCCATCTCAGTTTCAGTAGGGCCAGGTTCTCTGCTCCTGTTGAGATCCAGTGTGGACAGTGGAAGATGCAGGGAGCGTCTGGGAATGCTGCGAGGCCAAGGGTCAAAGGGGCAGCAGGCCAGGGGCCGAAATAGCAGGCGGTTTGAACTGGGCTGGTAGAGCCCCTGGGGAAACGTCGCAGAGACCCTGCCGGTCCTGTCCATGCTGCCCAGCCCTCACACTCATGAGCATCACTCCAGGCTACCAGAATTGGCCTGGCCCCCACTTGTGTCTGACTTGCTGACCCGAGCAGCTTTCATCCTGCCTGCCCATAGATTGTGGGCTGCTTCCATTTCTGGGCAGCTCCACCTCTGGCCTGTTACTTAGCCATTTTCTTTCCTTCACAGTTCTCCACTGCTGTCTCCCTTGGACGTGGCCAACCCAAGCGGCTCTCACAGCGGCGCTACCCGACCCAGCCATGACAAGCAAACCCTGGCCTGTCTGCCAAGTCTCCTGCGGAGCTGAGGCTGCAAGAGTCCTTACACAGCCCCTTGCAACAGCACCAGTCAGCGGGAAGGGTGAAGAGTAGCGATCCCTGTAAGCGGAGCACTTGGGTGGCCACCCAAGAGAGATTCAAACGCCGCCCAGCTGATTCGCAGCGTGCCCACAGCTGGCAGCATGTTTTTTCTGCTGATGGTGCACACCTGCACATGCCTCAGAGCACATAACAACATTTATTCCGCACATGGATGGAAAAAAAATTAGAGGGAACCTGGGTGAGGCGAGGTGGACTCGCTGCTTTCTGAGAGTGGGCACCCAAGTGCCCGGCCTGCGATGTCTGACGAGTGGAAGGAGGTTTTGGGGACATTCGTGTCAGGCTGAAGGTACATCTAGACTGGATTTTGGAAGCTGCCGGTCAGTAGCATCTCCTAGACCGGGGAGTTCTCCCCATGCTGCAGTCCCCATCTCCTGCCTC